CAGGTCACTTGCGTGACTGTCCCCGCCCGCCTCCAGGATACCAGGAACTGGGGACCGCGGCAGAGAGAGGGGAGGGGCGAGAGATGGGGCTGTGACCCGCAAGGCGCTCCCGAGTCGTGGTCGCCGCCGTCGCCTTCCTGGGCAGGAGCACGGTGGGCCCAGCGTCGAGGAGCGACGCAGACCCCTTTTGCCGTGACTCAGCCCCAGCAGTGTGAGCTGGAGTTAGGGCGCGTGCCTCCGGGAAGGCCGAAGGCCCAGAGGTTATTGAAAACCACGTGCCAGGCAATCCTGGGCATACCCATGAACGTGTCCTGGGTTCCCCATGCCAGCACTGTCACTTACTGTCGTCATAAGGTCCCCTTCCACAGGTGAGGGGATCGAGACCAAGAGGGAGAAAAGGCAGAGTTTGGGTTTGGACCCATTGAGCCGACCTGGCATCTAGAGTCTTTTCAGTGGGCACAGTTGCCTGCAGCTGTACCTTGTAGCCTTTTGCTACTTCATCCCCAGCCGGGAGGCCCTCCTGCCCAGAGAAAGGATATCTTACCACATTATCACCAGCACTGGAGAGATTGAGATTTCAAGTACTACCACTGAAATTAGCCGTACACAGGCAGAGGCCTCAAATTTCTCTCCTACTGAATGCCTATCCCTTTAATACCATTGCAAAAAAAAAAAAAAAAAAGGTTTAAGTGGAACCATTTTAAGTTGAGGATCATCTGTACACTTTCCCTCCTGCTCAAAGGAAGAGAAGGGTTTCCTTTGTATGGTGTCTGAGGAGAAGACATGAAGAAGTAGCTGATCCTGAGATGGCGGGCTGTGAGATCAAGCCTACTGGGCCAGTGACTCAGGAACAGAACTATTTATGAGAGAAATCCGCAATACACACATGTACTCCTGAGACTGCATCTCCCATCTGTACCCACCCCTCTCCCTGGGATACACCAAGGGGCATTCAGATTTCACTGGCTTTCCAGGTTGTCTATGCTGGACATTGGCAGCAGACAGCACATGGGATGCCTGGCCCAGGCCTGGGGCCCAGCACAGCCTGTCTGCAGCAGTTCGGATTTTCTAGCCTCAAATGTCCCTTGGAGAGGAAGCTGCACATTGATTTTTTTTTTTTTTTTTTTGGCTCCATATTAAAGAACAAAGCATGGGAACTGGACAGGCCCCTCTGTAAACAGAAAACACATGTTTTCCAGAGAATGGTCTCTTCCTTTCTTGTTTAATCTCCTATACACAGAGGTCTCCTCCAGGACTCCTGACACTCGGGCCAACACCCACCTTCTTCATGGGGGCAATGAAAGTGTTAGTGGATCTGCTCAGCAGTGAAGTGGGCCTGGAATGTGGTCCCAGAAAGGCAGCACCTGATGGGATTCAGTGAAGGCCTGAACCATTTACGTCCCCTACAGTCATGAGAGTTGTCCTGGGTTCTACACGAACTAGCTCCCAATGAATGAGTGTTCTTTGGGGCCTGCTAACTACATAAAGGCAGAGACTTCTCTAATCTGAGGAGGCTGAGGCCTCACATCTACAAATAGGTATCCTGGGACTCACTATCCACTGCTATGTAGCTTCAGGCCAGTTTTTTTTTTTTTTTTTAACTTCTTTGAGCCTCAGTCTTCTCATTTGTAAAATGGAGGTGACCATATTTTGTTGTTGAGGATTAAATAAGATACTAGGAATGGCCTGTCAGACAACTAGGAGCTAGTTAATAAGCAGGCAAAATCAAACTCAGTTACAGTTTCAATGCTGAGCTATTTCTGAACTCTAGAAATTTGTAGAATGGCCTGGGAGCCCTCTATACAGCCCCAGGATCCCTGTACTCTGACAAGCACCTCCTTGTCCCTTGTCTTCTGCTGGGAACTTCTATCCCCAGATCGGCTGTGGCACCTCTATGGAAGCAGCCTCCATAGGGGTATCTTCTTGAATGTCCTCAGCAGCCATCTGTGCCCTTGAGGGGAGATTTGATGGCCCAGACATCCTTGGGCCAAGTCTGCTGAGAGTTTTGTGGAAGTCCAGCCTGGACCTCTTGTCTAGGGGCCAGGATGTGCAGAAACCATAAAGGGGAATTCCTTGTGGATCCTGGCTCTGAGGGCTATTTGGAAGAACATGGACTAAATCATCTCATAGGTCGCCATGGGTGTCTGGGTGTGTGTAAAACCAGAGATATTTGCATGCTCCCAGAGTTGGCAGAGAGACCAGACCAAAGCCAGCCTCATTAACACAGGTTGCCTCAGTCCACAGTCGAGTTTCTTTGGAGAAACCTTTCCTCCTGGGAAAATTCTGATAGTGTGTTGTTCAGAAGATGATGGGTTTTTGAGGCTGGGTTTTACTCCTGGCCTATCCCTGACCAGCTGTGTGACCTCTGGCAGGCCCCTGGATCAGTTTTGCCATTTCCCCATCTCTGAGTGCTCCAAGGAGGAGAGACAGGCCAAGGCCACACAAGCGAGTATCCCCAACATGTCAGCAACCCTGCTCATTAGAAAAATTTGAAAAGTAATTGGCATTCTCAAAAGTTCTATTCATAACAACCAAAAATAAACTAAAAATCAGAAACAGTTGTCCATTGCTAAATATATAAGCTTCAGCAGGCTGCAGTGGACTGTCATAAAGCAATAAAAAGGACCAAGCTCTGGGTAGACAGAAGACACCAAGGAAGTGTGCCAAGCAAGTGTTCCTGCTCCACTCTCCAGTTAGTTAAGTTAAATGAAGGTTCAACTACTCAGCAAGGACAGGACTCAGGTGGCCTGGGGCCTGGGGAGGAGCAAGGGGGTACTCGAGGACATTATGTGGGGTATGTGTGTCCTTTCTTGATAGAGATGGTGGCCACACAGTTGTATATAAAATTGTCAGAAGTCATCCCTGGGAGCTGGGGATGTGTTGCAGCGGTTCAGCCCTTGCCTAGCATGCAGGAAGCCCTGGGTTCCACCCAGCCCCACCACCACCAAAAAAAAAAAAAAATCCATGATGCAAGCTAAAAGGGTCTTGCTATTTGGAATTATACCTCAGTAAAACTGATTTTAAAAATTGATATTTAGCTTTTACTTTTCAAATCTAGTAGAGAATATTTAATGACACAAAATGCTCACAATGTATCAAACAGAATGATTCTAAAATATAGTATGGTCTAACTGCTCCTTAATCACATGTATACATTTGTAAGCTATGGTGTGGTCTAATTATATAAGTGTGTGTATACACATGAGAGTGTACACACACACACACACACACACAATTTGGAAAATATACCAAAAGGACTTTTAGCAAAATATACCCAGTAATTACCTCATGGGTAATTTTTGTTTTCTTTTTTGTGCCTTTCTGTATTTCCAATTTTCCTTAATGAACACTTTTCTTGTTATGAACAAATTAAGTAAAACCAAGCATATTTCTTTTTTTCCAGCTGTAGCAGGTTGGAAATGTGGACTGGGCTCCTGAACAGAACACGAAAGACACCCGGTTCCAGCGAAGGGAGGTGCCTGGCAAGGCCTCAGCAGGGAAGAGGGCCTGAGGGCGGCTCCCACCTCTCCTCTAGCTGGCTCAGTGCTGGCTCACTCTGGAGGGCTGACATGCCCTCTGGGGACTGCTGAGCTGCTGATGCTTGGAGGGGAAGGGTGGCCTGGAGGAGCATTGCTGGGGCCAGACCTTCCTGTTGGTGCTGGGCCCTGCACGCCTGTCCTCTCATGCTACCCTGTACGTGGGGCTCAGAGCTCGGTTATCTCGGCCCCTGTGCCAGTGACTCTCCTTGAGGGCTGGTAGGGATGGACAGACCCACGCTGTGCCGGCCCCTGCACACTGTCACTGCCTCCTGTCCGTGGCCCTGGGTTATTGTTTGCCACCACCTGTCCCGCCATATTTGAGGAAACTGAGGATCAGAGATGAGAAGTGGCTTGCCCAGAACCACCCTGGGCAGGACTTGACCTATATCAGGATTTCTGTTGTCTTCAACTTAAGTTCCCAGAAGCTGCAGTGTGGGGCGGGGGTTCGGGCTGTGGTTTTTCTATGTCTGACTCTGCTCCTGGTTCTTGTGCGTTCAGCAGACCCACTGTCCTGGCTGAGCTTCGTGGTCATGGTGCACTTCTCTGGGAACAGGCCCCTGCCTGTGTCCCCCACCCCTGCATCTCTTGCCACTTGGGATCACAAAGGTGCTGGAGGGAGGCCTGCCTGTGGTGGTTTCATCTCTTCCCTGACTGACAGCACATTCTGCAACCACCTTGGAGATTAAAATAATAGCCTAAATATATTAAAATATATTTTTTTAACCAAGTCCCACATGGGGGTGCTGAGGCACAGAAGGTCAAGGACACAACGTGGTGGAGAATCTATCACTGGCACTTTCATATTGCAGATGTCACAGTGTACAGTCCTGGAGAATGGGCGGCCACACACACTGAATTTACGCCTGTGTGTGGAGGCTGCACTGGCGTGGGGTCCGCTGGCGTGCTGTTGGCTGGGGTCACTGCACAGCTTGGGGGTTGCTAGCCCTGCCCAGTCTTCTGCGAGGCCTCACTCATGTTTCCATTTAAAAACAAACTGGGGGGGCTGGGGATGTGGCTCAAGCAGTAGCACGCTCGCCTGGCATGCGTGCGACCCGGGTTCGATCCTCAGCACCACATACAAACAAAGATGTTGTGCCCGCCAAAAAACTAAAAAATAAATGTTAAAAAATTCAAAAAAAAAAATTGGGGGCCAGGGTTGTGGCTCAGTGGCAGAGTGCTTGCCTAGCATACATGAGGCACTGGGTTCGATCCCTGGTACCACATAAAAGCAAATAAAATAAAGGTATTGGTCTACCTACCATAAAAAGAAAAAATTTAAAAAAAATACCAGTTGGGGGTTGGGGCTGGGTCTCAGGGGTACCACACTTGTCTGGCATGTGTGAGGCACTGAGTTTGATTCTCAGCACCGCATAAAAATAAATAAAGGTCTACCAACAACTAAAAAAAAGTCTTTAGGAAAAAAAAGTTGGGGTAAAAAAGAAATTTTTAAATGCAGTATAATTGAGTTTAATTTGAATTTAAATTTATTTTTTAAGGTTAAATTTATTTTTAACTGATAGATAAAAATTGTACATATTTATGGAGCACCATATGCTATTTCTATAATGTATACATAGTATAGTATTTAATTCAAATTAAGCATGTTTATCTCCTCAAACATTTGTCATGTCTTTATGATGAAAACAAACCCCTTTTTTTGCAGCTTTCTGGAACATACAGTGCACAGAGGTCATCTGCAGCCACCGTGCTGGGCAGCACACAGCAGGCGGGGCCTTGCTCCCCTGTGGTCCTTGGTCAACCTCCCTATATTTCTAGGACTGTACAGAAGCGCACTGGCCTCACTGTCTGCAGGCTTTGGAGTAAAGGACATGGTGGAAACTTCTCCTTTCTTTTTCTTTTTCCAAACATTCTATAGCAGTGTGTGTTACTTTTATAATGATAAGAGGTAAATACATTCAGGGTAAAAGTAGTGAAACTGTCTAAGCCCTCATGTCAAAAGACAGTCAAGGACACTGGCCTTTGCCGAGTGCCTGGTATGCACAGATCTACTGCTCTGAACACCTGCCTGTGGGATGGTGCGCGGGTGTTTCTTGGTGGAGCCGGGGCAAAGCAGAACATTCCATCCTCCAAGCCTCAGGATTACACTGTTTTTCTTTTTCTTTCTTCCTTTTTTTTTTTCGTTTTCCCCCTCCAGTGCTGAGGATTTTTTTCCCAGCACCTCACACATGCTATGCCAGTGCTCCACCACCGAGCTATACCCCCAGTCCTTTTTATTTTACTTTGAGACAGTCTCACTAAGTTGCTGCAATCCTCCCTTCTCAGCCTCCGGAGTTGCGGGGACGACAGGCATGCACCAATGCACCCATGTGGATTGCACTGTTTTCCTCACATCTTCCTCCCTGAAAGAGGGACATTTTCCCTGAACACAGTAATCTTCAACAGAAATGTTTTTACCTCATTTACCTAGAATGTGGAACTATTTCTGTAAGCAGAACTTAGTTTAAACACACTTACAAATCATAGACATTTACCTTCTCACTCTGCAGCATTATTAACCAGCAGCCAAAGTCAGGATTAGCAGGGCCGGAGCAAGATGAAAATGCAGGCCCTGTACTCAAAAATGACCCAGAATTATGAGCCGGTTATAGCTGAGCATTGAGTACTGGACCCTTCCGCAGGTGTGGTGTGGCCCTGTACAAAGGAGGGGGCCCCACGGTCAGGCAGCCAGCCTGGGACTAGATAGTGATGTTTTCCAATAGAACTAGGGTGGCATTCCCCTTTGAGACAAAGTACACCAGTGACAAGGAGGCAGGAAGCAAAGGAGTTCAGACGTCAGGGAGACACCATGTTCCTGATGCACCGAAAATATAAAACAGTGTGCCCTGTTAAGTATGCCCGCGGAGAGAGCAGGCAGCTTCCCTCTCTGGGAAAGGCCAGGCCCTGAGCAAGGCGCTGTGTTGAGAGGAGGGAATTCTGCCATGTCTCCACCTGGTGTTCTGCCTCAGTAGAATGTCAGTCGCTGTGCCCTGGAGTGAGTGAGGCTGGCGTCCTGAGGCCTGGGGAGGAATAGGGACAGGCTTTGCCAGGGCTGACCACCATGAAGACAAGAGCAGCCGCATCCCCCTGCCTGGGACAGGATCCTGGGCTCTGTTGGCAGGTGGATTTTCCCCCAGAGGTAGCTCACAGGCCGTCCCAGCCAGCCCTGGCATCTCTACAACCTGTGTTCTCAGGGCCAGAAGTCTCGAAAGTTTCCAGGTGGATGGGCAGCAAGGCCTCTTCCACGAATCACCTGTAGAAGTCCAGGACAGAATCCAGAAAGAACTGAGCTTGGGCCGTCATTAGAAGGGGATCCCCATCTAAGGGAGCAGGGCTGCAGCTCCTTGAGCCACAAACCACTTCTATGGAGGAAGAGACAGCATGGTCTTCCCTCTCGACCCCCACTTAGGCCTCCATAGCCCCCTCCATTTTTCTTTAAAAAACAAGCAGGCAGAAGCCCTGTGCTCCCAACCTGAAATAGTGCTCTGGAGGAGCAGGCCTGGGACTGTTTTCCGCATAAATGAGTCGGGGGTGGGAGGATAAATGGTAAACATAGCCAGCGAGGTGCAGGGGTGCCCCAAGCCAGCGGGCAGCTGGAGGCCCATGCCCCTCAGCACCTGGTCCATGGCCTGCAGGGCCTTGGCAGTCTCTGGGGCATGGGCTCAGCTACTTTGTGTATTTTCAGGCCTGGGGCTACTCACCTGCTGCCCCTACCCAGGATGTGTCCCCAGGACCCTGCCCTGGAGGAGTTCAAAGCCAGGCAGAGAGAAGAGGACAGTAAGTGGCAGAGACCAACTGAGGAGCTGCAGCTCAGGACGAGGCCAGGGAATCCTTCCAGCCTCACCCATCAAATATCTTCCTTGGAGGTTGGGAACAGGGACACCACACCTTTTGGAGGGGGCTGAATGGGTCTGGGCAAAGGACCCAGCATGGAATCCCTCCTTCCTGTTCTGGGCCACAGGCTGACCTGGCACTGGAGGGCAGGAGACAGCCACCACCCTCCCACTCTGCAGGTGGATGTGGTGTCACCTGCTGTTAGGGAGTACTTACACCCACCCTCACTCCCAGACCCGTGGGAGTGGGCTCTCAAGTGCCAGATGCCTGCGAGGCCACCCTGGAGAGTGACCAGAGCTTTGGGAAGGGCCATCCCACCCGCTGCAGGACATTCTTGTTTACCTCCTAAGAAAAACACAAAACCAAAAGCCCGTGTGGGTGGAATTTCAAGTCCTGGGCTTTCTCAGTGGGCTGCTCTCCCCGCAGTCCTCTTCCTCCCTCTCCGGGGCCTGCTCTCTCCCTCTTTGTTGCCAAGCTCAGACGTCGCTGCTGAAACCCAGCCCAGCGTCCGCGAAGCCCGGAAACTTCCAGCTCGGCGACTGTGCACAAAGTTGGGGTGGCGAGGCCAGGGTGACAGCAGCGCCCCGGCCGGCCGCGGCGGCGACCGCGTCTGCACTCGGCTGGGGCTGCGCGCCGGGACCCGGGACGGTCTGCGGGGCCGGACCTGAACTTGACCGCGAGTGCCCGCGCCGCGGGGCCTCTGGGACCACCTGGTAAGCGCTCGCCCTGGCACTAGCCGGCTGGGCCGCGGCGGCAGCGGGAGGGGGCGTCCCGGGGGCGCTTGGGGACGCGGGGCGCGCAGCCCCGCCGTGGGCGCCCCTGGCCTTAGCGAACAAAGGCTGCGGATGGGGCAGGGACTCCTCCCGACATTTTCCTCCCCGCGGCAGGGCAGGCGCGGGTGCGCCGCCAGGGCTCTTAAAGGGGAAAGATCACGCCGGCGGCCTCTCGCTGCTTTCCTGCACATGGCCCTGCTTTGGCTGCAGGGAGGAAGGAGTGGGCACCGGTGCCACAAGCGCCCAGGTGTTAACCCGCCCAGCCCCGGCTGCCAGACACTGCGTGAACAGCCAGGGCCTGCCTGGGGTGAGGCCCCTCCATGAACTGGCCGTCCAGCTGCCTCCTCACGTTGCAACAGGAACGTGGGCCCTGGTGAACGTTGCGCCTGCTCTGCCCCCACAGCCTGGTGACACCCTGCCCTACCCTGGGCGACCCTGATAGTAGAGCCTGGGGCTGCCAGCATTCTGTCTGCTCTGCTTGGGGCAGCCACAATGCCAAGTGGCCATGGTGGGTGCTGGGCACACACAGCAGCTGTGCACAGGGACTAGAAGAAAGAGCCCTGGCCTGCAGGGTCTGGCCCTGGGGAAAGGTGTGGGGCACTGCTGTCTCCCTCCAGCCCCCGCCAACCTGCCCAGACCCAGCCCACCCTCCAGCTGGCTTCATTTCACCCATCTTCCTCAGCTTGCTGAGACAAGATGCCTGCCCATGGGAGTGGCATGGTCCCTGGGGGGCACCCATGGGATAGAAAGGCACCCCACTGTGAGCAGTGGCAAACCCCTAAAAGCTCCTAGATCTCTGTTCCTGTCCCAGGCCTCTAGCCCAGGGAGCCTCTGAGTTTAACCAGGTGCCTGTAACCCCTCGAAGTCCACCTGGTTGTTGACCCGGTCCCCAGCCTTCCAGAGGCCATCAGTAATCTTCGCTTTCTGGGACCCTAGCGTCCTTGGTGAGAAGCTGCAGGACCCGTGGGGGAGCTCCCAGGCAAGAGTAAAGGTACCTGGCCCTGGGGTCCCAGTGGGTCGCTCACAGTGCCCCAGATTCTCCTGTAAGTTCTCAAACGGGGAGAAGCCAGGGGGCTCAAGGGGAGCCTGCAGGGGAAGGGAGCCATGGGCCTGCCCTAAGGGAAGGCCATGCAGCTCAGAGAGGTGTAGCTCAGAGAGGGCAGAGCCCTTGGGCTGCCAGAGCACCAACTTCAGATGGATATCCAGATTTGTACATGGGATGGCCAAAATCTGAAAGCACCGCAGGACTAGGAAACACATGCTTGGATTGACCCTGCCCCTGCCCCCAGGTTGCAAGCCCCGTGTATGGGGGAGGTGGCTCATGTTAAAAGCAGGCTTCCTAGTGACCCCAGCCCCAGCCAAGGCCTAGAGAGGAAAGCCCCAGGCATCTGGGGAGCCAGAGGGAGGGTGTGTACTTCATCACCCAATAACACAGGGAAGTTGAGCTGTCAGGTAACCCATGCGTACTTGCTTCTCAGAGGCCAGATTTATTTATTTCAGGAGATTTGAAGTTAAAATGAGATACCTTCCCTTCTCTGGCCCCAAGTCCTCTCGAGCAGCTTCCATGTCCACTGAGGCAGTGCCTACAGGGATCAGTGTGTAATGAAGGAAAGACAGGATGCAGAAAATGAGCCTGAACTTGAAGTTGTTTGGGGTCCCAGATGGTGAGCCCCAATGGGTGGCAAGTACCATGGCCCTGCAGAGAGATGGGCCTGCCCCATATCAAGTATCACCTCGCCTCTCTGAGCCTCAGTTTCCTCGCCTATAAAATGGGCTTAATAGGGGCTAGGGCTATAGCTCAGGGTTAGAGCGCTTGCCTAGCACATGTGAGGCACTGGGTTTGATCCTCAGCACCACATAAAACTAAACAAATAAAAGAAAGGCATTCTGTCCATCTACAACTATAATTTTTTTTTAATGGGCTTAATAGTTCCGACTCACACAGCAGATCTTCAGGAGTCATTAGTGACTGCTATGTTCCTGAGGACCAGTGGCCCAGGCTTCTGGCTCCTGTCACAGGTCACCTGTCTCTGGGGCAGCTCAGGAATTTCTCTCTTGCATCTCAAGTCAACTCTCGTTTGCTTTCCTTTTCCTTCTCATGTTTATGTTCTTTTCCTAGCAGCCTCTCTGAGCCCCTCCCCTGTGCCTACAGCCCTTGCCAGGCCTGAGAGGCAGGTCCCTGCTGTGAGAAGCTGCTGAATGTCCACTGTAATGAAAGCAGCTGGGACAGTCTGTTGAATGCCACCAGAGACTGGCAGCTCCTTACCTCTCTGACAGTATTGTTGCAGAAATTGTAGGTGAAACCTCCCAGGTTTCCATGAGCCCTAACTGGGAGGACCAGAAGGGAGACAGGTCCCCACGCAGTGGCTCTGTGTCTGAGGCATCTGGTTTTGCTGGAGAAACCATAATATTGTAAGAATGTCCTGAGAACTTGGTGAGGTACTGATTTCAGTCTTCAGGAAAAGAATCGCTAGTGATGGATGCATGCTTTTAGAAAACCAGAACCCTGTTTCCCCTTTCTGCCCACCGCCATTCAGCAATGCCAAGGCCATGTGGGTGACCCCACCCACCTCCTAACAAGCCGGCCTCTGTCCTTGAGGACAACAGACATGTGCTTTGGTTTTCTGGGTTTAAACCCCTCCGGCTGCCAATATCTGAAAACCCGGATAAAATATGAGAAGAAAAGGAATCACTGAAGTGACAAACAAAGCTACTGCAAAAAGTGGGCCACTGCATCCAGGAGACTGAAGAGCAAGACCCAGGCACAGAGGCCTGCAGTCTCCCCAGGCCGCCTGCAGACTTTGCAGGGCCCAGTGTAAGATGAAAATGTGTGGCCTTGTTCAAAAATGACAAGCAGGTCGGGATGATGGCAGACAGCAGTGAGCTGCGCTCAGGCCCTCCTCGGCCTGGGGCCCTGGGTGGCAGCGTAGGTGAAAAGCCCGAAGCCAGCCTGCCCCCTGCACCTGTTCAAGCCAAGTGCTGAGGCCAGGGAGACCGGCGGGCGTCCTCATGGCTCCTGGAGGAGCCCTGATGGTTCTCTCCTGCTTGTGGTTCCATCGTGGAGGCCCCATGTAACCTGGGACATTCTGAATCCTCACAAAAAAAGAAAACCATCTTTCTTTCCGTTTTTCCTTTTCTTTCTTTTTTTAGAAAACCATCTGTCAATCACCTTTGAACCCATGCTGGGCCAGCCCTGGGAACCTCGGCCGGCCGTGTCCAGGAGCACATAGTGATAGTGTTTCAACGTCAGCGTCTGAGCGTCTTGTTGTGTGTGGTTGACCTTCTGCTAGTTCTCTAACTGTTGAGCACAGACCTTTGCTTTCCTTGGAAGATCCTGTTCCCCAATTGACTCCAACACCTGCTCGCGTTCCCCTGGAGGCTTTCCTCAACCAACCCCTCATTACACGCACAGATTCCTCCCGAGCATTTTCAGTTTTCCCTTCTAGAAACAGCACTGGAAGGACATGTGTGCGCATTTGTTTCCTAAGGGAGAAAACCATGCTTTGGTGCTGCTGCTGCTTCTGGGTATGGGAGAACTTTTAGTTCCAGAAGTTTCTTAGACTTGTCAGTGGAATCCCATTTTGCCCAAGGACTTCGGTCTTGACTCTCTTATGCAGTTCTAGGGCTGCAGCCCTGGCATCTGTAACCGGCCTCTTTGTGGATGAGGACCTGGGCTCCCCGAATAGCAGCCCTGGCCCGGGACCTCCATGTGGACCACAGGAGATTCTGTTGCCCTTACTGTAAGGAGGACATGTGAGTGATCGCTATGCAGATTAGCCGTGTGTCCTGCCAGACCATAGACAGGATTGAGAGTCCATGAGTAGCAAGATGGGCTGCCTGGACCACCAAGCCTGTCAGGCTGGCGCTGGAATGAGATAGCACTTGGCATGGTGCCCACTCACGGGCTGCCCTCAGTAAATGAAGAGGACAAGGACGTGGGCAAGGGGGTAAGAACTCTGTGGAGGGTCTGCCCACCTGGCAAAGGCTCCTCAGGACAGGGATGAGGTGTGCTGGCCTCACATAGACTCCAGGCCTCCCCCAGTGCCACCCATGCAGATGAGCCCTGTGAGCCAGGGGCTGTGTGGAGGGCTGTGTCCATGCACCATGCTCCTCCTGCTGAGGCATCTGGGCATGTTGGGGGGAGGGAAGGCCCACCGGAGTCCTGGGCTGCCATGGCAACCTGCTGTTGATGTACCAGCTTGAGCGACGCAAATTTCTCCTTTTCTTTTTCAATATGGTGCTGGGGATGGAGCCCGGGCCTTTTCTGATGCTAAGTGTGCTCTATCCCACTGAGCTGCACCTCGGGCTCTGAGTGTGTGTTTGTTAATTACTTATTAGTTAGGGAGGTCAGAGTCTGACGCGGTCTCTCTGGGCTCAGATCAAGGGGCCGGCAGGGCCCGCTCCCTCCTGAGGTTCCAGGTGGGATCCGTTGTCCTGCTTCTCCTGGTTCGGTGCCGCCTGCATTCGTCGGCTTTCGGCCCCCCCCCCCCCCCCCCCCCCCCGCTCCATCCTGGAGCCAGCTGCCGCTTCTCACTCGTCCTCTGACCACAGCTGGGAAAGGTCTCGTGCTTTTCAGGATCCGCGTGGTTATGAGGTCACCCCCTGAAGGGTGAGGGAAATGGAGACCTCAGCCCTGCTCAGGGGCCAGGCCCAGGGTCCTCCAACAGATGCCCACCCTCCTTTCCCACCTGGGGTGGAGGGTCTTCGCCTGGAGGGGCCCCCCCGCTTGAAGACGGCCCCAGCTCAGTGACAGGAGAAAGGAGGGAGGAGGGAGCTGCTGCCTGGGCAGGACCTCCGCATGTTGGTGCTGCTGGCCTAGGCTTCCTTCTCCTCCTCCCCAGACCCCGTGGCCTACAAGGTTAGTTTTCTCGTCTCTCAGGTCAAAAGCTGAAGCTCTCAGAGGAGCCGCAGTGTCCAAGGAGGAGACTTGCTTCTACAGAGAACCCGTGAAACCTTGTGGTTGGCAGAAAAGTAGGTGTGACTGGCACTGTCCCATGACAGGAGGGCACAGGTGCCGAGATGTCAATGGTCCCCGAGAGTCCTGGGGCACAGGCCTAGGCACTCACTGATGGGCAGCTGAGAAGTGTCTGGAATCACATCTGTGGTTGTAAAGCTGGAGAAACAGCCTCAGAAAGGGGTATTCATTTTCCCGAAGACACACAGCTACTGGAGAGCTCTTCTGCTCTGACCTTCCACCTTGCCCCTGTGTCCTTCCCTGCAGGTGCACCGCACGCTCTGGATCTGTGGGGCAGTCTGGGGGGAGGCTGGATGGTCTGTTGTTAGAGCGCTTAGCTGTCCCTCTGGAAAGAATCTTTCTCTAACATGAAGTCACACCTAGACAGGGGCCAGGCAGTGCACAGTGTGGTGGTTAAAAGCTCCTGCATGTGGAGCTGGGCCATTCTGAGCTCAAATCCTGATGCCACCACCTGGGGTGCTCTTTGGCATATTGCTGACCTCTCTGTACTTAGGTTTTCCCATCTGCAAAATGGGGATGAGATGTTACAAGACTCCAGAGGACCCCTGGGAGGCCCTTGCTGGCAACAGACCCTGCCCAGAGCCCTCCCCTCCCACACAGCACTGCACATACCCAAGGGAAGATGGACACCTTCCCACCCCCAGCATGGCCACAAAGATTCAGGCTGATTTCTAAACAAACTGCTGACCACTGTCCTTGGGCCTCACCAGGTGCAGGGCTCAATGTCCTGGATCAATCTGGACTTGTTCTGGGGCTGGGGAGCTTCCAGTTAGAAGCCTGACTGGTCCCCACTTCTGCCCATCACCAGGCAAAGGATCTACGACCTTGGACAGGCTCTGTCCAGCCAGGAGCTGCTCTTGCTCCCCAACATCATGAGGCAGGACCGTGAGCACCACTGCCCTTCCTGTTTTTATAGGTGGGTCAACTGAGGCCCAGAGACCCTAGAAAACTTGCCCGAGGCTGCACCCTGGCAAGGACAGGGCTGGACCTTGGTGGTGGCTAGACTCCAAGCCCAGGGCTGCATGGAACCGCCTGCTCCCTCCAGGGACACGGCCTTTCCTCTCTCACTTATCCAGTAGCCCTTGGTTCTCTCCAGACAGGCGGCAGCTCCTCCTGCCACACTGGCAGGACAGGCCTGCTGCTCTCGGGACAGAGGGGCCGTGAGATGGCCATAGGAGGAGGGGACCTGCAGCTTGCTCACAGAGGGCAGGTGTGCATGGCAAAGGCGGAGGCTGAGCAGCTGGAAGTGTCCCTCCGCAGGGGTTTGGGCCACAGCACACATTTTGGCCTGGGTGTGGCGAGCTGCTCTGAATAAGAAAATGAGAGAATTTTCCAAGAGCAGCATTTGGAGCTGGGGTAGCCTTTGATATGGGAGGGTGGGCCAGGGCATGCACCCAAGGCTGGAGCCCGAAGAGGGCACCGTCGGTCAGCGTCCCCCTGAGCTGTCTGTGCCACGGCCGCCGCCTTGGGCCTGGCACTGGAGGAGTTAAGCTGCAGCAGGCACCTTGGCATGTCGCACTGGCCAGAGTGTCCAGCGCCCCACCCCCACTGCTTTTTTCCTTTTTGCCTTTTCCTTCTTAATTAATCATAGGCTGCTGCCCAATTTAAATATGGAAATGCCCAGGCTGGGCCATGGGATTATTCATGAGGCCAGGCCGGCTGTCCGGGGCACTGGGGCTACGGGGAGCATCCGCATCTCCTCCTTTCTGATGTGTGTGAAATTATGTGCACAGAAAGGCGCCTCCTTATCTGGGTGTGTGAACTAAATAAATAAATAAGGGCTTTTGTTTGTTTGCCGGCTCCTGCACATGACTGTTTTGACTGAACCGCTCGTGTTGTCTGCGCCTTTATGGGACTCGGGAGACGGGGAGACGGGGAGGCGGGGCCCCCACAGGCCGGCTGGGGGCTGGGGGGGCGGCCGCCGGGCACCTGGGGCCCGCTCCCTCCCCTGGCACCAGCCTCGCCCCCGCAGTCCCCCATGCACACCCTCGCCGGAAAGTTCGCCCTGCCCGGGCTGGGCTCCCAGGCAGCCTGGCACCGTGCCAGGCTCGCCTCCGAGCGCGGGCAGCAGGGTGGGGCGAGCGGCAGAGCCGTGGAGGACGTGGCCGGGCGCCCCGGGCATGAGCAGGACCCGAGGCCGGGGGCCAGGGGCCCATAAGGTGAGGGCACCCCGGTGGGCACAGGGTGGGTGCTTGGCGGGCAGCAGGCAGGGTGCGGGGAGCAGGCCTCGTGGGGGGAGGGCAGGCTGGCGGAGGAGGCAGGCACAAAGGAGGGCAGTGCCAGGCAGCCTTGCCCGCCTGCCTGCCCCAGCCGGCCTCCTGCCGCAGGGCCTGGCCTGGGCTCCGTGGGGGGGATGCATGAGCTCGGCCCCAGCAGGAGCAGCAGACACGGAGCTGTGGCCGCAGGTCCAGCCGCACAGCAGTGGAGGAAGGGCCCAGGGAGGCAGGCGGGGCCGGGTCTGTCAAGGAGAAAAACATCCCAAGGCCTGCAAATTGCTGCTCTCAGCTTTTCCCCCTCCTCCTGCTTGGGGGAAAAAAAAAAGCAGAGCTTCCTCTGGAGGCGGATGCAAAAAGGATGCAGAATTTTAACCGTCTCCTGTACCGGCTGGTCCTTCCCAAGCAGGGCTTAGGCCCAGGCCCAGCCGGGGCACCATGGGCAGCCAATGGCTGGAGCCTGATGTCTTTTCTGGGAGATTCTGGAAAGCCATACCCCCTCAGCTTCCCTCCAGAAACTGGGACCTGCAGCTCCCGTGGCACGGCTCTGGGGAGGGGGTCACTGCCCAGCGCGTCACAGGCTGCGGGCTCACTGCCAGTTGCTGCCCATGTTGTCCATCGCGTCTGCTTGATGGGCTCCTCTACTGGGGTTGGAGGTGGTGGCTGGGCCGCTGCTGGGGACCTCAGCACAGTGCCAGGGGAGTCCCAGCTCACACTGACCTGGGCCCTCAGTCACAGCAGGACCCTGGGCCTCTCTCATGGCCCGTTCTGGTGCTTTAAAAATTATGTGGGCTGTTTTCTGGCATCGAGTGGGGCCTGGCGCTCTGTGCATTAGAGCAGGACTGGGGGTGAAGGGGAGGGTGAGCCGGGCCAATAGCAGGCCAGCGCCAACGCAGAGGAGGCCGCGCCCGGCCCAGGGAGATGCAGGTGTGGGAACTTGGGGTACGGCCCAGGTCCATGTGCCACCAGGGCCCTGAGGGCCCATGAAATGTTTTAATTTTAATTTCTTCTATAATCAGAAGGAAAAATGAGTAAACAATAGTGAATTTATAATGAGTTCAGCCTAGGTTATATTGGTCTGTAATCCAATGCAGTCATAAAATATGATTTTTAATATTTATGGAGGAAGGGCCTGGGAAGGCAGAGGTGCCCTGGCCCATGAAGGTCAGCTCTGATCCTGGCTAGTTCAGACTGTCCCAGGGCCAAGGGTCCAATGTCTGGCCCCAAGAGTTCTTGGGTTCCCTGTGAATCGGGCTTCTCCAGAGGCTAGAGGGATATCCGTGCCTGCTGTGGAGAGAAGCCAGGGCCTGGTCCCCTGTGTGTGTGTGTGTGTGTGTGTGTGTCCTCATGTGCACACATGCGTGTTTCACAATGGATTCCCAGACATCTGAGTGTGCAAGTTCCAATTCAAGAGGCACACATGTGCAAGGCCGGGTCAGGGCAGTGTGTGAGGGTCGGATTGTGGGGCGCTATTGCCCCCTAAGAAAGAGCAGGCTTCCAGGCGGTCCATAGCCTCTGCACCCACGCGCTCGTCCAGCAGCATCCAGGGAAACTCAACAAGCTGCAAACAGCTACATCTGTGATCTCATGTGTTCCAGCAACTGCTTTAGAAGGTAACAATAAAGAGGTGAGAGTCACTTAATAACAAAATTCATTTACTCTAAAAAACACACGTCTGTATATCCCAAATAACTAGTCGATGAGCTAATGAGCTAGCCAACACTTTTCACACTCAGTCCTGAAAACCCTAAGCATATTCTACATAAGTGTCCCGCTTCTCATTCTCCACATGTCAAGGGCTCAGATGCCACACATGACTGCTTCAGACACTTCAGGGTTAGCAGGGTCCTGTGTCCCCATGTCCTTCCTCCCAGAGTGGTGAAGACTGGTTTTATGCTTTTTTTTTTTTTTGCTAGCGTCCGTCTTGGTCAGGAAAGGACTCTTCTACTGGTTCACCAAGCCCCCCGCGTCCTTGGGAGCCAAAAGCATGGGTGTTGGGCTGTAAGCTTCCAGAGCAAGGGGGAACTGGTGGAAAGGGCTCTTCAACTGTGCTCCCAGACGCCAGCGGACGATACAAAGGGCTGGCTTCAGGCTCACAATAGTGGGGTGGTTAGTCACAGTGCCAGGGCAGCGGGCAGGGAGACAGAGCCCCTGTGTCTGTGCCTGTTGGGCCGGGCCCTGCAGCCCCCGTGCCCCTGCCTGTGGCTTTTGTTTGCAGCACCCACCCCGCTCCCCACGTTAACCCCCTGCTGCCCACCGCCTACCTGGCAGCCAGGCTGGTGACCTCCTTGCCGGGCTCTGGTTTCCAGCAGCCATCCTGGCCAGAGGTACGCTGCTGCCTTAAACTGGGTCAGGCCTCCGTGGTTTCACTGGCCGCTCTTGGGAAACAGGCTTCAGCAGGCTCCGTCCTGATCCCCGTGGCTGGCCAGCGTCCCTGTGGCTGTGGCCGAGGGGGGATTTCGTATTACTTAGAGAACCGAGTGTGCCAGGCTCCCTACTTTCAGCTCTCACCAGCATTTGAAAGTACGCAACGTCCAAAGACCACGTTTCTAGAAGCACCGAGCAGGGACACTGGGAAACTAAGGAGTGGCCCTGAAGCGGTTGGTGACTGTGTGTCTTCAAGTGAGCAGGCTGATATAAATATTTTAATCCTGTGTGTAGATAGATAGATAAGATAAAACACATTAGTGATGACCCCGCCCTGTCTGGAGAGTCCTTGAAAGCGGCCTTTGCTGTATCCGCCTCAGCGTTTGCTATTTAGTAGTTACCATTAAATTCCTCCTTCCACGTTGCTGTCCCAGAGCCTCAGAGGCTGAAGTAGCGTTTCGTTGTGATTTGACAGTTAAATTATTGACACTCGCGGAAGGTAATTTCCCCCCAAAAGGTATAAAACACAGCTAACAGTTTCTCTCTCTTTTTAATTTAAAAATCATCTCTGCGAAGATTCTGCACGTTGGTTTTTCTTTGCTGAATTAACGTGGCATGTGTTTTTGTTTTAGAAAGCAGAGATGTTTTCTAGTGCCCAGTGTGAGGAGGGGAAGTACAATCAGGGGTCTTTTGAAAATGTGCCCATCTACCTACAGCTTAAAAATTCCAAGTGCCCGACGTTTCTCTTGGAAGAAATAAATGTGTCCAATTTAGTCATCTTACCTGTTGATTGTATTTTGTGATTATTTATTTTATAATTGGATCCGCGTCTAGCACCGAAACTGCCTTTGGCGCGGGGAAAGCCTTGTCTGTCCGGTACATGGGACCCTGGAGCCTGGCCTTTACATGCTGGGGCTCTGGTGTGGGGCAGTGGGCTCCTGGGACAGGAGGGGTCTGCGTGCAGCAACTTGGCCCACTCTGCCTTCAGAGAGCAGGGATGGGAGACGTGTGCTCGGCGCACATCGTTTTGTTCTGATTTATTCTAAGCAGCTAAGATGGTTTTAGCACAGAGTGGTGTATCTTACTAGCCTCTGAGAGCCTTGGGCTTTTCAAGCTGGAGTACATTTTTTTTTTAAACCCAAATTTAGAAATTGCCTTTTTGAGTAGAAAACAGCACGCTGATTTGCCTTTTAACCCAGTTTTTAAAGGAAGATACTTAATATCAAATACGTCAGTTTGGAGATTGGCCTCCCGGCTATTATCCAGGGGATAGCAATGGCCCTGTCTCAACAGACAGAGGAAAGAGGTGGCATCTCCCTGCAGCCGTGGGGTCCTGGGTGGACGCATCCCGGACAGGCACTGAGTCCTCATCCTGTGAACGATTTTTCCTTCCAAGGAGGAGTGTGGCATTCGGCTCTAATGTAATCGTGTGGAAAAGAGTCTCACCTGGCTGAGACACTGTCACTCTCAACCAGGCCACTTCCCAGCATGACCCACACGCTGGCTCAGGCACCTCAAATGATATAGAGACCCATGCAAATACCATTACCCAAAACAATGTTTGCTCCTGCAGTTCCCCTGGCCACAGGCATTGTGGGAAGTGCTTGGGGTTGATAGGAAGCCCACTGGGTCCCCTGGGAAAACAGCCTAAAAGTGCCTCTGGGGAACCCAAGCGCTCTTCACTCCTCCACACTGGGCCTACCCGGTTTAAAACGAGAACAGTGTCCAGCCCTGCTCACTGTCAAGGGCTGTTGCAGGGAACGTGGCCGCAGCAGCCAGGGCTGACATGGTAGAGCTGCCCAGTTTTGTTTTCTATTTGAAGGTGTCTTTGTGCAGGGGAAAAGGGCTAGAGACACGGGAACTGCCACTCTTCTGGCAATACAGATGATTGCTATTTATGTTAAATTCACAAATATTAACAGTTAATTTGATTCTTAAGTATGAATTATAACTATTTGACATATCATGGACATATCAGTAATATAGTCCTTTTCTAATTCTGCTCAGTGCAGAAAATTTGGAAAATATAGGAAATGCATACGAGGGGGAAACTGTTCATCCCCCCACGCAGAGACCGCTCTGGCCACATTTTCATGTTCCCTTCTCCCTGGTCCCTGCAGCTATCTATCAGGTGACACCGTTGAACTTCTCTGCTCGTTCTTGCTGGTTCCTCTGCCCTTTTGCTCAACAGAAGGCTGCCTCTTCCAGGTGCCAGCTCAGGCCCTGGGGGGTCAGGGACAAGGCCTCAGGATCCCTGGCACCAGCCTCCTGCCCCTGCAGTTTTGGAAGTCTAGCTGGGACAGGCCAGAACTACTACCAGCACAGACCCATGGCAGAGCCAAGGCTGAGAGCAGGATCCAGGCATGGATGGGCGCTGTGAGGGAGACTCCGAGATGAACAAGCGAGGTCTTCCCGGGGCAGGAGACGGAAGGACAGGCAGGCCAGCCAGCCAGAAGACACAGGAAGCCTGCAGCACGGGGAGGTGGCAGAAGGCAGCACTGAAGCTCAGTTCCCCAGTGAGGAAGGACACTTGGTCTAGATCCTGCAGACCACTTCTTAGACGGGCAATGTCTGGTCAGTACTGTTGAGATGATGCTTCCAACGTGCCAGCTTGGGCCTGACGGAGACCTGCTGAGCAGTGGGCTTAGTGCAAGCACTTTGGGAGGCAGGAATGTGCTAGAACTTAAGTGTAAGGGCACAATCCCCAAATGCCTTCTCACCGCCAGGCATGTGCCCCAGCTGGGCCCACAGGTTGGTCAGGTGAAGGTTGAAGGTTTCATAGAACCAGGCCCCTGGAGATGAGACCAGCAGATTTCCTTCCTCATTGCTTTCTGGAGTCACTGTGAGGCGAAGGGAATTCCAGAATCGACAAGTTCCTTGCTGGTAGGATAAACGAAATCTGCAGGGTCAGCCTCACCCCCTTAGAATGTCTGGGCAGCAGCCTCCAAATTTTAACAACAGATCATTCGAAATTCATTAGTAAGCCATGTTACAGACAAATTTCCAGGCAGGCTCACGATTTGCAGTGTTAGTTATAGGACAGAAATACTAGCAAGAGGGCTGGGGTTGTAGCTCAGTGGTAGAGCGCTTGCCTAGCGTGTGTGAGGCACTGGGTTCGATTCTCAGCACCGCACTGCATGTAAACAAATAAATAAAGTACATTAATAACTAATGAAAATATTAAAAAAAAGAAATACTAGCAAGAAATAAAATATGAAATAGTAGGGGACAGGGCAATAAATTACCTTGGAACGAAGTAATGACACATTGTGTCACCCTTAAAATGGTGTTGACAAAGAATTTGTAAAGTCACAGTAAGTAAGGAATACAACATTTCCTTAAGAGTGAGTCTGTATATAAACCTTGTCATTGTATGCCTGAGCGCTAGTTGAAAAGGAGACTACACAGACATTATTTTTTGGATGAATAATATCACAGAGGTGAATAAATTCACAGAGATGAATTTTCTTTTTTTCTGTGTATTTTATACTTAATCCATATTTTCTACTTACTTCTTAAATTATCTGTATCTAAAATATCTCTTTATATTTTGTTCTAATATACTAGACTTTCCTGTGCATTCCTTAAATATGTGCTATTTTTATAAACCAGGAAAAAAATCATTTTTAAAGGCTTGTAATAGAAATCCAGACTAAAGGTATGTTTTCCTTTGGTTGTTGGGCAAAGAAGGCAGGTAGCAGAAATATTCGTTAGGCCAACAAATACGCATAGTATGTAAATACTCTTTGGTCTTTTATAAAAGATTTGTTCCTTTAAAAAAGATAGCTTACTAATCAAATATGATGGAGTCCCTAATCAAACATATATACTTACTCACACAACCAGGGCATAAAGAGCTCAAGATTTCGTGTGGATTTAAGAAGTAGTTTTGTCCGTTAAACTGGCAGCATGAGGAAAGAAGACCATCTCCTTCTTGGACATTTGGTCAGTGCCTGACTTGGAGCTGTGCTTCTGGCCTCTCTTGCTTGGTATTTAAAACCTCTTCTACGGATGCTGCAAGTGCATTACTGAAGAAGGATAAAGATCCCAGATTCAGAATATCAGATGGTAAACTAGTTTTGGTTGGAAATCTCGGTGGGTTTTCATGCTCATCATTTGCCTTTAAAAAAAAAGAAAAGAAAAGAAAAGAAAAAGAACATAATTATTTCCTTTAGTCATACTTTCAAACGCATCAAAACATTTCTTTGCATACTTAAGTCACCTGCTATTTATGTCTGGGGTGCATGCTTGTGTTAAGAGGTGGGGATTTTATTTTTTTTTAACTATAATGCTGCAGGGTTTTGTGATTTGGGAAAATTTGTGCATGTTTCCAGCTAAACATTTCTGAGTCCTCAGGCAAGTGCGATTTGCTTCCCTGTAATACGAACGTCCTGCCCTGGACGTGCAGGACTGGAAAGGGCGGACGTTTCTAAAAATTCAGGGCCCAGGAATTGATACAACGTCCCCGTTGGCTTCAAAGGCTCAGTGGGGGCTTCTGGTGACGTCTGCACGTGGACCGCCCGGTGCCTGCAGGACCCAGAGCTGGCCGCGCACGTCTCAGCCGGGAGAGCGTGGCCGAGCCTCAGTTTCCCTGGGGGCCGGGCGAGGCGCGGCTGCGCGGGGAAGGGGCCTGCGCGCGCCTGGCCGGCCGCCCCTGGGAGGTCCGCTGGTCGCCAGCCGCCGGGGCGCGACCCTCTAATCCGCTTTAGTCAATATACTGCGCTCTGCTTCGGCAGAGCAAACAGGCGGGAACAAAGCGGCGGCCGCCGGCCCGCGACTCCTGACCCCGGGGTCGCGCCCTTTGTTCGCCCTCAGTGGGACCGCCCCGCCACCCGGCCCGCGGCTAATTGGGGCGCGTGCCACCGCCGCCGGGGCGCGGTCCGGGGCCTGCGTCTGCATCTGCGCAGGGACGTGGGCTCCGGCACTCACGCGGGCCTGGACTGCGGACTTAGACTGGACCTCACCTTGGACTGGGACCTGGACCCTGCTCGGGCCTTCGGCGAAGAAAGACACTTGCTTAAATGCGACAGACACCGGACCTCGGACCCCAGTCCAGACGCGGACTCGAGCCCTGGACCCGAACCCGGACCTGGACCTGGACCTGGACGCGGACCTCAGAGCCGCTCCCGCCTGGCCCTGGCCCAGGCTTCTGACTCCGTCCCGGACCCCAGAACCCCAGGCGCCCGACCTGTCCGCGCCTGGAGCTGACTCCTGCCAGCGCGGGCCGGGACCCCCGCTCGGACGCGGTCTGGACCCACTCCCAGCCCCAAGCGCACCCAGGTCATACTC